GTGTTGCACCGTTGTGAAATGGAGGGTGACTTTCGATCGGGAGCGTGGTTTGTGACTATGTTAAGCCTAATCGTGAGATGGATGATTCTTTTGATCGAGGATGGAGTTTTAGTGATCATTGTACTCCCACATATGTATGTTTTAATTATGGTATTGCTCACTGTATATATGTATATGTATGGTTTTGGACTTGTGATGTGATACATATCCCGACATGCATAATTTAAGTATTATCTTTACTCACTAAGTTTTGCGACTCCTACATTATTATCTTTCCAGATCGATTTGACCATTCATATTCCAGATAGCAGTATTCAGAGTCGCACTTCAGGAGTCGATTGATGTATATGGGCGTATTCTTTTTGTTTACCTGTTTTTGTACTCTAATGCTATTTTTATCACTTAGATAGGATCATGTCTTATATCTTGAACAGTATGATATGTATTTGTATAATTTGTTTGGTTTTTGTGTATGATTAGTTATTGTGAAGTTGACTAGGATCGGGACTCTAGTGTCAATCACGAGCCTGAATTCGGGTTATTATATTCTCATTTTCACTCTTATTCTTATTCTATTAAAAATTATTCCATTGTATTTTTCGCCTCTTTTGTATGTTTGAATGGGCTCATAGGAATAGGCTCACGGACTTTGATTTAACCCGAACAAGTTCCAATATGAGCGTGGAACCTGGGAAGATAAGTGTGTGCCTGCGCGCGCGCCCCAGGGGGGTTGGTTACTGAAAGTTCTACATTTGGTTCCCGTCAACCAGATAGTTCACTCGCCAACTTTGAATTGTCAAATTTCACCGGAAGAGACGACAAACAAATGATTCCTTGTAACGAGAATCTTTGAAAATAATATTTGAAAATAGGGGGTGTCCATATGTCACATTCGTAGAAATTATAAGTCTGGAAGTTTGAGAACCTCAAGCTCCAATTGGTGGCGGCTCACGGCTTTCTACAGCTGAGAAATGCATAATAACTCCTAAACCAAATGATTGATTTGTTTTTTATTTTAAATCATTTTACAAATTAGTGTTCATATTTAAAATTTGTGTTTAAAGGGTGTTTCGTGAAAATTTATGTCATAAAAATCAACATTTATTACCTTTATGCCAAAAAGTTGCTAGGCTGACTTTTTTATGTCAGCTTAGAAATATATTTAAAACACGTTACAAAAAATTCCAACTTTAGTTATTTGTAAGTTGAGATGGATAAGCCAAAAAGCCAACGGCCTGTTTGGTTGGCATGTTTTCTGTTTTCATTTTCAATAAAAATAGAGAACAGGCCAGAAAATTTGTTTGGCATGGCGTTTTCATTTTTATTGTTGCAGAACATTTCCTAAAATTTGATAGAAAAGAGGAAATGACAAAAAGTCATTTCCTGTTTTCTATGGAAAGACGAAAATGCAGTGGCATGAGTGTAATTTCCTTCATTTTCGGCATCTCTTCTGTATCTAACATTTCCCAGTTAGTGTACTCGCCTCCCGTCACTCTCGTCTTGCGTCTCTTTGCTACAATGCCACAATCGAGCACTGTAAAGGCGTCTCTCTCATCTATCTCGTCTCTTGTCTACACCACAGCCGAACACTGCAATGTCACCTCTCTCATCTCTCTCATCTCTCTCATCTTGTTTGTGCATCGAACATAGCAGATCCAAACACCTCTTAGTTTTGCAGATTCAGACATTGTAGAAATTGAACACCTTTCATCTTCACATATCCAAACATCGCAAATCTGAACACCTCTCTTTCAATCGCCCCCGCTGGCAAGGGCCGGCTTCCCTGCCTCCATCAGTAGCAGAGTTGCAACACTATCAAAGACAATCGATCTTCAAATTTCATTTTGTGGAGTTCAAATTTCGTCAAATTAATTGAGGGCTTTTCGTGATTGGGATGACACAATGCAAAATCAATGTGAAAATTACTTGAAAAAAAGCTTATACAACGGCATAATTGAACTCGGGTCGCAATCGAGTCTGTTGGACCCGATCATGACCCGGTAGAGGTAGGGGACAACCTATTTAGTGTAATTTCATTTTGGTCCTTCAACTATTCTTCTTTCTTCAATTTGGTCCCTACACTCTTCAGATTTTGTTTTAAATTTCAGATTTTTAATTTATTCAATTTAATCCCTATCAAAAACCCTAAATTTTTAATTTCATTCAATTAAGTTATTATTTTCAATTTATTAAAAATGGATTAACCAAACATATTTTTTTTTGTTTTCAGTTTTTGAAAATAGAAAATAACAAATCTTACCAAACATATTTTCTAAATTTGAATATTTTGAAATGAAAACTACTTTTCAAAAAATAGAAATAGAAAAGGAAAAGGGAAAACATTTCACAAACCAAACAGGCCCCAAGTTCCACTAAAAATTTTAAAGGATTAAAGTAAAAATTTTTAGGCGCTGGTTATTTTTTTGCCTTTATGGGTTTACTTTTTAAATTTTGAAAATACATAAATTTCCTAAAAAGTTGTAACATCATAATTTTTTTTTTAATTTTTAAACCATGATGCGAAATTCATAAAATAAAATAAAAAAAGAGAAGTAGATTTTACGTCTTTAACTTTTCAGTAAAAAAAGTTGATTTTTTAGACCTTTTGAATTGAAAATGTCATATGTAAAAGCCAAGAAAAAGATGGGCACTACGGCTTTTTGTCAAGGGGCACCCATCTCGGGATTCCTCCTGTTTAAATTAAAACATGTATAAATTTGTATAGGACAATGCTAATTAAGATGCTGTGAATTTATATTAGATTTTCTTACAACATTATGCGGAAATTTTATTTTTCTTATAATGAAATCATAAATAATGGGTTTTATATTCTTATAAGAATTAATAATAAAAAATCGTAACGTCTTAATTTCACAACGTATACGTTTTTCCGCCGTTGACAAGCCAGCGAAGCCACGGTGGTTTCCTCTTAATTAAAATTAAATATTGTGGATATATAGAAATTCTCGTGATATTAATTTTGATTATAAAATTCAATTTTTGTAAATTATCATTGCGGCCAGCTTATAATCAATTGTTGGCGTATGACTCCGTGGGCCATTGTGATAACATGGTTCAAACGAGTGAACCGCGTATGGTGAGATATTTTTCTCTAAATTAATCTATCTATTAAAGTAATTAATGAATTAATTAATTCTAATTAGACGAAGTCAAGGAATTTAGGAACCACCCATGTCAATTATCTTTGGGTTTTTTTTATTTGATAAAATTAAAAATTCAAACGCTGAATTTTGCTGTCCATATAATTAGCTCTTAAATTCCAGGAATTCAAAATTTCTTTAACTTAGATTATAAATGAAACTATTTATTTTCAATTATTTTTAACGTTCAGTAATAAATGAATAAATTCTGATTATTTCAATCAATTTTCAGATTTAAGTAATTGAGTAAGATATTATTAAACATATTTAATTCTTAAGTGTCTAATACTTTCACTCTTTAGTGTTGAATATGTTATCGTAGTTTCCCGTGAATTGATATGCAAGAATTTATCTTGTTATCAGTTATAAATTACATCGATATCTCCAATTTCAGCGAAAAATTAGATTTTAAAAAAAAGAGAAATGAGATAGGATAAAAGAGTTTTTGAACCTATTAAAAACTATTAAAGAATACATTAAATATTTAACGATATATAACATATTCCCACTAGCCCATATATGTAATGAAATAATAAAACACTTTTTCATTAAACTTACTTTTGTTAAATTTATTTTTTTCCAAATTCATTTCCGATCAAACGAGGCATTAAGGGCATGTAGAGATTCTTCTTCACATTATCACATTCTCTTATATCATAAACAAAGTGCTTCCAGGAAGACCTAATTTTAACTTATTGTTAAATCATTTTAATCTACTTTTGACGTTCTCATTCACTCTCTAACTCCAGAAGTTTACAATATTTTCTCAACACTTCAATATTTGGTCTGAAACGAGATCTAAAAGATTTTTCCCCCCTAAAATTACCAAGTCTTGAATAATAATTATCATGACTACATGTCCAGTTTGACCTAGCAGCAATATTTATCAGTTCTCTGAAAAACATGTTGGTCTAACAGAATTAGAGGGTTTCAGTTGATCATTTCCTAGTACAGGATGTTTCTATTTGTTGTATAATTTATGCTCCCATATGTGGTGCTAAGGGACTGACAATGTGTTTTTTTGAAATGCTAATTGTTTAACGCTTGCAAAAGACACTAACAATGTTCTAAGTATGTAATGGAGCAATTGGTTCTCTAAGCTAACATTGAATTCAGTTTTCAGTTAGTGGTCAAGTCTGGTTTTGTAATCCTTTTTTAACAATGAGGTTCAAATCAAAATATTAGAATGCAAGCCGAATAATTTGATTCTTCATAAAAATCTGTAGAATACATACATGCACATATATTAAGTGTACATAAAAATTTCATGGTCATAGCTTAATTCAAAAAGTTCTTGACCAAATGCATTTGTTTGACTCGTATGAATCTGAAGGCATGAGGATACAAGCTGAGATTCCGCACTCAACATAAAAATCTAACTGTAATGGGAGCATAGCCAAAAGCATGCTCTTTGGGACTATGCCAATGAATCAGTAAAAGTATTCAACACCTTTTTGGGCTTATATTCAGGTTTTAAGGCCTCAAAAAGTCAATGAGTTAAAAGATATTGTAATTTTTAGAGTTTCAAGACAAAATACGCAAAGCCCAGAAGTTGCAATATCCTCACTTGTAGACTTTAGAACTTAAAAGCTGAATGCATTAGGCCGAAGAAGGGGGTGACTAAACGACGCCAGTACTTGCCACTTAAGACTAACGGATTTGGTTCTTCCCATTCACATTAGGTTTTCTGATTTATCAGAAAGAAGGGGTTCCTCCAAATCAACATTGCAATTCATCTTCTTAGGAAATTCATCTACAAAGACCTGTACATTTTGTGCTTCTGCTTCATCAACTTTGGGCTTCAGATTGGTCTCCATTTTGAGCTTTTCATTAAGATCCTCAGCTTTTCCCCACAGCACCACGTACAGTCCAACAATCAGAACAACTGCACTTATCAGGCTGCAATATTGAACGGAAAAAGCAGCCTCATTTAGACCACAAAAACTGGGCTTTCTTTCAGAAGCAAGAATGCTTACCCATATGATAAATCTTGGTATCCTACCTGCCAGTGTAGACCTCTTCGTGCAGAAGAATTGCAGCAAAGAAGGTCACTGCAACGGTGGTTAGAGGGCTGAACGTAGCACAGAAGAGAGGTCCTCTACGCGAAATGCACCATGTTGTAATAAAAACTGATATTGCTGATGCTACGATTCCCTATCGGTTAATGCCAATCAAGGAACCCAGTTCAGTGATTTAGCTATTCCAAGTGATATTTTGAAGCTTATTAGTGTCCAATCCTTGGGCATCCATGTCCTATATACATCTAGTAAGACAAAGTAAGTTGAACAAAAACGAAACACAGTAGCAAATGTGCCTTAAACGGGCTCAAGTGTCATTTTCTAACACCTACTGGACTTGGACACTTGTAAGACATGGGTAATTAAATCTTCTATAAGGGTCTCTGCTTCGTAGCTTTTATCCAAACCAAATATACTTACTGCAAAGGAACAAGCAGCAAGTTCAAGGTAAGAATGCAATTTCCAAGCTTCTTGGTCTGACTCCATGAAGAGTGCAATTAGCCCTGCCTGTAACGCTGCCATGAAACACATCCATGCCGATAGAGATACATGGTTCGGATGGCTTGCTAAAACCGGGACCTATTGAACAAGAATATATAATAATGGAGGATGGTTAAATGCAATTATAAATGAGGTGCAGATAAGCAACAACATATGTCATAGTCAAAAAGTCAAGAAATGTGCGCTCCTTCTTTTTTACTTTATTGCATACTCGTATTCACTTGCTTATTATGTGTTTCTTCCTTTTTTTTTGTTTTTATTAAATGTCTAGGAATATAATTTTTTTTTTCTTTTAATAATTGAGACTTATTGGAACTCTGAATACCTGGATAATTAGCCAAACAGCCCAGCAGCAGCTACTTCCGAAGAGGAAGAGGGAGCCCAGAAGCCAATTCTTACTTACGGAGCTGAGAAGAGATACTCTTGATAGCAATTCTGAGTTCAGAAGCTTTGAGCCTCTGAGCAGCACCATGGAAACAGCTCCTACGACACAGATGATAGTCCCTATGATCTTGGCATTACTTCTCAGCTTCTAATGTTAACTTTCTCCAAACTGATCAGTTCAAACATTTTTTAAAGCATCTATAAGTTTTGTGCACAAGTTCTCTGCATTTTGTGGACATTCTAACCTTTCTTGTTAAGTTCAGAAGAAGCATGATCAAAGTTTCCTGAATTATATGTTCAGCTACATCAAATGATATCTAATTATGTTTCTTTTAGTGTAGGCATTTGTTAGGGAACTCAAGTTTGTAGAGAAATTAGAATGAAATGGTCTAACTTTTCATGATGTGTTGCATTGACTAATTGCTTTTGAAATCTAAAAGAGTTTGACTTTTCTGATAGCATTTTTCAGAACCATACAGAACCATTTTGCTATCTTTTTACAATTCAATTATTCCAAGAAAAATCCCTTATCTGCCAGAAAATCAAATCAAGGCTTATAATTTTTTCTATAGGTTTTATAAAAAGAGATGCATAGAAAGTTCCCTCGTTGGGTTTGAAATTTACCCCAAAATGGATGCCATTACAAAAGTCACGGCAGGGATTAGATTAAACATGGCACCTCCCATTGATGATGAGGTTAGGTGTATGCCCTCAAAGTAGACATTCTGGTTGATTGTTACGCTGCAAAAGCCAAATACAAAAATGAACCTTCAAGGATACAACCAAGGTAACTTCCCGATCTGACAGGGCTACATATAACTGGAATAGGCAATAATCAAGGTAACTTGAGATTAACATTACTTCACCGAATGAAAGTAGTCTACAAGACTGCTTCCAGAGAAACTGCCCATAGAGGCAATTCTGCAAACTTTTGGAGTGCAATGCCCAAAAACAGAGAAGAATACTCAACCATAAGAAGAGGATAGTCCCAAAATCAAAGGTCAACAGGTATAGAAACTAGTAAAATTTCAGCAATTGCCCAACCCCACAATCATACTAAAAAATATACTGAAAAAACTGCAAATACTTTCAGCTGAATCAAATCCCAGGACAAATAAGGGAGAGCTTATGAAAAGCCAGTTAGCAACAAAGATATGAATGAACGCTCTCATTCATAGCATACCCCACAAGAGAAGCCAAGAATATCAGACAGAAGCCTCTCAATCCCAAATATACATCTTTCCTGCAACAAGACAATCACAGAATGAATGATTATGGTGATGTGAAACTCAATATCCTGGGCACTTTAGGCCAAAAAGCCGAATGTATAAGCCCGAAAAAGTGGTGCTTAGGCTATTTGTTAACAGACACCCACCTGGTAAAATAAGCTATTGGAGCGATGACTAATGTTGCTATGCATTGCCTGTAGAAGACAAAGATTCTGGGGCTCATTCCTTGGAGAAGAGCAGCTCTTGTTAGGAGAGCAACCCCTGCATAAGTTAACTGCACTGCGATCATACCCATTGCAGGCTTGTAGTCATCAAAGCCACCCATCCTCAGTTGATTGCCCAAAAGATGACAATAAGAGTGGAATGTGTAATCAAGCACAACCAGCCACTATATACGGAAGTGTTTGTTTCATTTTTAAATTTTTAATTATTTATTTTTTGAAATGCACCATATATAGAAGCTAGCTTCCAAACTTCTGTGAGTGCAATGCACAAATCAAAATCACATGCTTCTCTGCTTCCACGTGCTGCTTCTAATGTACGACGATCCGGATGTAGTGCTATACAGAAATAGAAAGAAAGATAGTATTAAAGAAACTAGCCTATGTAGCTCGTGCTTAGTCCCCTGACCGTGTAATTTTGCCCCTCATCTTGCTTAATTTACCTCCTGTCTAATTTTCTTTAAAAAAATGTTAAATTATAAGGATCCAATACGAAATTCGCTTAATCAATAATGTGGCAATTTGATTTCTTGTAATAAAAATCTTAAAATGGGTTTTCTACTTCTAAATAGATGGATAATATACTAAACCACAAACCCAGTACTTTGCATAAGAAAATTGGTAACATCTTAACTTCTCAACGTGGATTTAGCATCAAGTACGTGTTTTTCCACTCAAACCAAGTCGCGAACTGACAAACCAGCTAATCAAAGGTGGCTTAAATCTTTTAAACTAACGGGTTTAAAATATTGATCTTATGATCATTATTGATTATAAAATAACCCTCTCTCTCTCTCTCTCTCTCTCTCTCTCTGAGTACAAAAATAGTGGCCAAGTGGCATTTCAAGGCATTTTGAAAAACATGTTTCAAACAGCGGCTCTTCCTAATCTCCTAGGGACTCCCCCCCGCGTCTGCGTAACTTTCACAGATGAAAACGAAAATGTCCCTTTCCAAGTCATGTACACCCTAATTCGACCACGAAAGGCGGGAGCCTATTTGTTAAACCATGTTTTATTATGTTAAAATATAAAATTCATGTATAATATTATCGTACACTAAAAACTAATTTCAACACCAATACACTACCAATTATTTTGGGTGATGAAACATCACCAAGCACACTATTTCTCCCCTTATCCCCTTAATCCCGGCAAGAGTAATATTATTCATAAATTGATATTTTGTCTCCCTTGAATTCAGAAACCCACCGATTTGCTTTTTATTTCAAACACACAAATATATATATATATATATATATATATTTTAAGATAAGGCTTTTTATTCCAGCAAGACATAAAAGAGCCAAAGACAAGGTCTCCCACCGGGTTTGTTAAACAACATAAATAATCATCCAGGGTTAACTTTTATATCTCGGCCTTAAATATTATATACTTAAACAGGCCGAAGGATAACTAAGTCATTATTGACTTTAAATTTATTAGCTTGTAGTTATCATAACTCGGAAAATTATGACCCAAAACATGATTACACGTAGTCCCATCCAAACGGACCCTTATGAAAATAATTCAAACAGGAGAGAGCTTGCTGGAGGAGGTATATAAGAAAATCACCACCCCAGTTAGGTCTCTCATATAAAATTTTCAATTCTCTTTTATTTATTATTTAATTACAGGCATTAGGTTGGCTGGCGCTGATGATTACGTCACTACAAGAGAAATGCTGTTTAGCCACGGTCAAAACCGTGGCTAAATGGGAGTAGCCATGGTCCATAGAATCGTGGCTAAATGTGGCGTCGCAATCAGATTAGCCATGGTTTGTGTAACCGTGGAGACCACAATTTAGCCACAGTTTAATGTCTATTTAGCCATGGGGAAAACCGTAGCTAATAGTTTAAAAAAAAAAAATTTTTAAAAATCATTACAATTTTTTTGCCACACCAATTGCGTAGTCACGGTGCAACCGTGGCTAAATTTTTTTGGCACACCATTTGTGTAGCCATGGTGCAACCGTGGATAAATTTTTCTAATCAAATAGCCACAGTTCAACCATGACTAACTGTAGGAAAACCATTCAGTACATAGCCACGGTTCAACCGTGGCTATTGTTTTTTTTTTTTTTAAAATATTTAAAGAAGTCATCTCCCCTGCATACATTCAAATCCTAATAAAGGAGAACATTAAATACTAACATATGTATAATGAAAAATTTACATAACAAAAGAAATTGAGATATTTCATATTTATCAGTAGCAAAATCAAAAGGTATATGCATGTAATATTCATTCATCTTCTAAACTCCTATCCAGTGATACTTTACAATGCAAAAATCTCAAAATAACATCATTTTAATACATTCTCAGTAAATATAACTAAGAATGAAGAATATCTTGCTAGACATTTGGTAATTCATTACCAAACTTTTCCTCAAGAAATTTCTGCAAAGCTGCCAATTGTGCCTTGGTCTCATCATATGCAGTTAACTTTTCTTGCAAAGTCTCCACTTGTTTATTCAAGTCTTGGATACACTCATTATCTACATTATTACTAGTTCTACTAAAATTCACATAATTAATAGAATTTCTAGGTAATCCAAAAGTATTGGAGGGACAAACACCAATGCTTAAACCACGCACACGGCCTGAATGCTCAACACCACATACTTTTCCAATTGCATCATCACAATGAGCCGATATTTTTGATGGAACACCTAAAGTAACAGCACGTTCTTGATCTTGAGATAAATGCTCAGATATGTTATCTTATAAATAAAACAAACAAGTAAATAGATATGCAGTCCTTTCAAATTTATAAATGAAAAGCCAAGAAGAAAGAAACTTGAAGAGCATTAAAAATTCATTATCAAATAAAATTTGCAAATAAAATTTGGGGCTTATGTCCTGATATCTATGAGTTGTCTAATTTAAAATATTGAGAAAATGAAAACAATTAATTTTGAGCTATAGAGGAAAAATATAGGTCGAGCCTCAAGATACTCAAACTTCCTATAAATATCTTCATAAGCACCAATGTTATCTTTAAATCATTTTCTTTTCTGCATGCCATTGGAACCATCTGTCAAAAGGAAGCATGCAGATCAAGTGATTATTTTATAAGGTTACAAAGGTTAAACAAACAGAGCCCAGATGACAGCCTACTTGGGGATTCAAAGTGGTTAATAACTTAATATTTTGTGACATTCAACTTCAACTCAAGACAAAAGTTAAAATTCATAAGTGCACAGCTGGGCAACAAAATGAGCTGAAATTCAAGCTGTGGACTTAGATATTGCCTTCCTCAACCAGACTTGCGACAAAAGGGTCATATTATGATTCACAGATGGTTCCTTTTTTTTGGGTGCTAATGATTCATTGCTGGTTTATGAATGACATCTTTTCCAACTGATTCTTTGATATGCAAAATTGAATCATGACTCAAAATTTATAGAAAAGCCTTACTCAACACAACAATTTCTTTTAGCTGCAACATGCCTATAACTTTAAGTATGTATACAAAACATTCTGGAATATCATAAACTATCAAACTACTTCCATTAACAAAGAGAAAAACTCCACTGTTATGAATTAGTGGGAAGAAAACTAACTTGTTATCTCCCCCTAAGCTTTTCATATATAATTTACCTTTATGGGTGTACATGAAGTGGAAGAATAAGACCTAGAAGCAAAGTGCAGGGAAAAGGCTTAAAACATGTACAAAACATTACAAGGGGTACCGTTCAAGATCAAACCAACAAGTTATGTATCGCATCTTTATTATCTGTACATAGAAACTAAAAGAACTCATTAAAAGAATTTCCATTTATTTTGAGATCCTAATATCATATTAATGCGTAATGCTTGCAGACATGTATTTCCACTTTGAGGGGTCCATTTAAATCACCAAACTCACAAGCAGAGATCAGTCATGGGACTAGCCTCAAGTTATTAATATAATATTCAAGAAGTAATAGACCAGAACAAGTAAGCCGTCCATGAACTTGATAAAGGGCCAAAGCTCACCATGAGTCAATTCTACCTAAATGAAAAAATAGTGCCCATCACCACCTTAGCTTACTATTTCTAGTTTCTAAGTAAAACAAAGAACATGGAGGTATAAATAAATAGCATGGTCCTGAACTAATTCATTGCATGCAAAATTCATCAGGGATTTTAGCAATTAAAAAAACAAAAACAAAAAAAAAAACTCCAATTACTCAAACAAATTGTAAATGGCATTCCAGTAGTGCAAGTGAATTAAAATTTCCAAATTTACTCAACCAAATCACACAATTCCACCATATATGGGTTATCATAAACTTGGTTAGACCAGCAACTTCAACACTGCAGTACAACAATTTTCACCTTCTTGTCCATTGTAGGTGCACTTTCTGATTTAATTATTAGGTCATAGTTAATAGAACAGTCCACATCTTATTAACTCTAGAAATCCAGTGCACTTAAGGTATGTTCAACTGCAAGGTCATTAAAATGTCAATGTCATTGATGTTACTGGAAAGTGTATTTAGTATATTCATCATCAGCACTCCTATTATCAGGCACCGATACACAAGTTAGTCATAAAAGCATCCCTACATATTAAAGAAACCTAAACAGTTGCAGATAAGATAATCATAATTAGAAAGTTAATTACATCAGCAACTGAAAAGTTTTGCAAATAGTAACATTATAAGAGCCTAATATCCAATATTTCCATTTCCAATCTGTTTATCAAACCCAACAAGGAGTTCTCAGTATATTAGACAAAGAGACAACTAAATGCTTCTGAATTAGGTACCTTCTAATGCCTGATCAACTAAAATGTAAAATGAATCCATACAATCAAAAATTGCAAAGTGCCACATCCACGAAGCTTTCAAGGTAATAGGGTATTAGCAATGAACTTTCAATTAGAAAAATGGGATGTCAATTAGAACCTATGTCTGCCAAACGACAGCATTGCTGCTTGTCCAAAAGTGTATACTAGGAAACAGAATCATACATCATCATGTTCCCCTTCTTAACATCTGTTATCAACCAAACATTGCATAATCATGATGTAGCATGCAAACATCAATATCTTGAAGCTAACTTGTTTTACAACATTGATGTGCTCCAATATTTTGCTGAGGCAAGTGATACTATTATTTCCAAAAGCATAACAAAGAGTGGCATATCATGTTGCAAGGAAGAAAATAGTGTCACGCCCCAAC